CAGAATCCAACATATCCAGAACAGACCTCCCATGAAAAATTTGAGTCCATTGTACCGTTCTGGAGATCCTGGGATCGAATTCAGGTGGGAAACACCATAAAAGTTTCTCCTTGGAGTCGCTGAAGTTGCTCGCCTGGATTCAATCCCGAGATCTCCAGAGTGGTACGTTGACGCCTTAGCCATCCAGCCGGCGACCAAAGATTAGTCATAAACTTTGAATTACTATTTTAATCGATTTATTTCTGTGATAATGGTTTGAAGTAATAAAGTATACATTAATGATAATTTACTACTTCAAACCACTATCACAGAAATAAATCGATAATATGAATCAAATAAACTATTAGTTTAATTCTGTTACCATGGTTACTAGATAATTTGGTTGGGGAGCTACTATTGCTCTCACCCTCCGTTTTCATTCTAGGGACAACTCCCGATAGGGCGGCGTTCCGATCGTCCAAAGGGTGAAGTTGGCGAGAGTTTCATTTGCACGTGTGTATTTTTGTGATGCAGTCTGAAAAATTGTAACCTATAAATTTCCACTGTCGTTCGTCTGTCCTTAATCTCGACAACGGAGTTAAAAGAAAAAGGAGATCAGATATGGAAACAGAGGCAGGAGGCCTCGATTAACTATATACGAACTTCTAATGCAAACCGGAAATCACGTTATTTCAATTCTAAACTTTTCCCCTGAAAGCAGTAAATAGATAACCGGTACGACTTTGTTGCTAACGGAAAAGTATCATGTACAGAGGCTAGACACTATTTATTTGAGGTGGAGAGCCTATATTTCAAATTAAATAAATTAAAAATTGCAGCCCAGCATTGTGACATCATCACAATGGATGAATAAATTTTATTTCGGAAAACATAACTTGATTTTTAGAAAAACTAAATTTACTCTTCTGAAATTGAAAAGGCATAGTATTACTGGATACAAGTCCCAAACAAATATATCTATAAATATGATGTTGAATATGTGACAAATAGAAGACCATATTTTAACTATTTTCCTATATTCATTTTCCAAGGTAAAACTTTTAAAACTACTGTAACCTACAAATTTTCAAAGTTTAAGCTTCAATTTTAGTTATTAAAATTTAACATTTCTTCAATTACTATTCGTTATAAATGCTACATACCATAATAACTACTACCGTGTTAGGATACAGTCAATAGTTGTTATTAAGGTATTGAATAAAGTAAAAATTTTTTAAAATAATAATAATTATACCTAGTATAATTTAAAAAGAAAAGAAAGACAACACAATAAAATATGTCACAGAACAAGTATATTAATTATATTTATTACTTTAAAAATATGTAATCATTACTTCAATTAAACAAAAAAAAAAAAAAAACTTAAAATTCTACAGAAATTTTAATTCTCAACAAGGTAATGATATATAATTATGTACATTTAATGCAATTGTGATATAATAATAATTATTTTTGGTCCCGGAATTTATATTACACTGTTCTTGCAGTGTTTTTCATATTACATAATATATTTTTAAACTGAAAAAAGAAGTATGGGATTGACCAAATAAATAAAAAATAAAATTACCATCATAAAATAATTAAAAAGAAAATCCTATAAATTCTTCTAATATATTTTCATTACTTAAAATCAAGAATTTATTCAATTAACATTTCAAAATTATCTCAAAAATTGATAATCCATAACTTCTCATTTCTATTATTATAGCTTAGAACACTGAAAATAAAATATGTCTCAACCATATTATTATTATTTTTTTCAAATTCAAACACTTCTGATACTTATAAATCATTACAGAATTGCATTTTAAAAATATATAAACTTTTAAAATTAAAATTACAAAATTTTTTCAAGCAAATAAAAAAAAATATTATACAATTAAAATTTTTTTCATGTAACTTAAAAAATAACAAAATAAAATTTCTATTTTTGTTTGGTAATTTAAAATTTTTTTAAACTAATCATTTAAAAGTTCATTCATCATTTAAAAGTGGTATTTTATATGTACGGGACATCATATTGAAGTTTTTTTAAAACTTCATTTCATGACTCATTAAAACGTTTTAAGAATTCATCAATGGTTTTTTTATATATTGTCTTTAAAATAATTTTAATTAACAAGATTTATAAACTGCTCCAAAGAAATCAATTTATCATAAATTTCTTAACAATATTCAAGTTTATTAATGTTTTTATTGTTTTAATATATAATGAAAATAGATTTGAAAAAATTTCAAAAGCTGATATAAAAATTTTTGTCAATTTATATATATATTAAATATTTTATTCGTATGAACTTCTAAAATGGTATTATAACTTCTAACATAGCAAATAATTATTCTACAAACTAATATTAAAGAAATTTTATATATGTTCGGTCTAGAATAAGTAATTTTACAATAAAAACACATCAAATTTAAACAAACTTAATATTACAGAAATTAAACTTAATTCAATCAGCACAGTTTTAAATAAAACTACTTTATTGACAAGTGTAAAAATCCAGTCTTTAAAATCACATGCTTTCTTGAAACATATTAGGCTGATGGTGTACATGATGTTTGGCTTAAATATTCCAATAATGAATTAATGATCTAACTGCAACATCCAAACAACTAAAACATTTTCCCACACCAATAACATGACATTTGATGTATTATGCAATGATTTAATTAACATTTTTACTTAAGCTGGAAAAAATTGGATAAGTAACCAAAATTTAAAATTTTTTTACAGATTTCAATAACATATTGGAATAATTTTTTACAATGAAATACATTAGCACCAGCAGCATCTTCAACAATGTGTTGATGTAAATGAAGAGCTTATTGAGTTTAGAATTTTATTTCTGTTTTGTACTCCTTTGGACCTGAAATAAAAATAAAAATAAAGGTTAAATTTTAATTAACTCTCTAAAAATCTTTACTGCATAAACAAGATTGTTTCAGCAACAATAACTAATTTAGAATTTAATAGATATATAATCTACAAAAAACCAGCAATAAAATGAATTAAATATTATTCTTATATGAATAAAATACCATTTCGTATCGTAAATGTATTCTAACATGAATAAATGACGTTATCTTTGGTATAGAGTAATTTATTAACAATACAATCTGCCTAACACAAAGATATGTTGGAGATGGTTGTGATCTACTTCAATATATTTTCTCACATATATCATTTTATATTATAACTAGCTGCAAGAACCCGCTTCACTGGGTTTTTATTTGTGGGCAAAAAGTAACGATAGTGAAGATTAAGAACGGGTAAGATTGGCTATAATGTAATTATTACATTATAGCCAATCTTACCTGTTTTCACAGAATGCAAGAATTAGGTCCCCCATTTCCAGACTAATTAGAGAATTTTTACATGAGTCTAAAAATATGTTTGATTTCCCACAAAAATGCAAAAAACTGCCTGTAAATCTTGCATGCCGCTTTATATTAACACTTCCTTTGTTACTCAACACTTCCATTGTTANTCAAATTCAAAACAAATAGCACGAGCATTCACCAACTTATTCTGCTCATTTGCGAGATCATTGCTAATACATTGTTGACATTTGTGTCTTTGTGTAAATTCATAAAAATCTTTAAAACTCAGATCCTTTACATTGAGACACATAGCACAAAAAAACTGCTTTGCATCTTTGCGAATAATGTATTTTTAGTGATATTTGGCTTTATATTTATATGTTAATTTATTTATTGTTCTAAGAATGCTATAGTTTAAATTTTAAAAAAAAAAAAGAAGAGAAGAATCTGGAACGCCAGAATGGAAGAGAGGTTTTGAACACTGTAAGGTTGAAAGAAGAGTTTGTTCTTTTTGAGGAGTAAAGAAAACATTCAAATCTGTTTCGTGTAAGGATTTTTGTTAAAAAAAAAAAAAAAGACTCGTAGTGATACTGTATTCACTACAGTATTTGTCTCAATTTCCCTATAAATGTGTTATTACATTTTACACAGTATGATGTATCAGTTGGCATGTTATTTTCTGTTAAGTCTAATTACTCTTCATCTATTGAGAAGAAGGTTAACACTAATAAAACAAAACAAAATTTATCTGATAGTATGCCTTCTTAATGAAATATGTTTAGAAGTTTAAATTTCCACAAAATCTGAAATTCCACAAAAAGTACAGTTATCACAAATAATATGCAAGAATACTGCAAAATAGCATCAGGAAGCAAACTTTCTGATGCTATTTTTTATTTTTGCCATCATTTCTTATGCTATCATAATAATGTTAGCATAAGAAATGATGGCAAAATAAAGCATAAATAATGATAGCATCATTTCCTGATGATATCATTATTTTTGCCATCATTTTTTATTTTTGCTTCCTGATGGCAAAAAGAAAAAAAAGAGGTTATTTATACTTGACAGTAATATTGAAGCATCTAAAGCTTTGTCCATTCTGAAATTTGGGAATTGTCAAAGTATCACTAATTATCTGGTTTCATTTTTAGGTAGTACGGATATTATCTGAAATAGAAATTGAACTGACATTCAAAATCATTTAATTTATCAGTTTCTGTTATCAGTCCACATGCCTGAAAACATTCAGACAATGTGGAGCACAGGCCCTGCATTGGTCCTTCCTTTTATGTGAGATATATAATGTAAAGTTTGAATTATACAGTTTGAATAACTGCCTGTATTTATTCCATATTTGTTAGTTCCATCAATCTTATAACTAGAAAATAGGTTGGTTGATTAGACTAGAAAAATGTGATATATAATCAACTTATGTACCTTTTTCAAACTTTAGACAATTGATGAGCAATTAATTAATTTTGACAATTGATTACTAATCTGTTAATGAAATTAATTGGATGACCAAAACCTTTTTTCTATTTTTAATATAATTTAAATCTTAAATTGATTATTTTTGTTGAAGAAAACATAAGTTTGTTTGGAATATTTAAAATATTACCTAATATTATTAAAATTAAATATATAATTGTGTAAAATTTTACATATATGTTTAAAGGAAATTCTGTTAATTGTACTGGTGACGATGATGATGGAGTTTCAGTTGGAAGTATTGCTGGGGGTGGACGATATGATAAATTAGTTGGAATGTTTGATTCAAAGCATAAAAATGTTCCTTGTGTTGGGATTAGTCTTGGGATAGAACGTATATTTTCAATTATGGAAGCAAAGGCTCAAGTAAGTTTTAAAAAATAAATAATAAAAAATTTTACTTAATATTTTTTCATTGTAGTTAATATGATATAATTATACATAAGCCATTAAAAATTAGGAAGTTTTTAATTGTTCATATAAAAATTTTTGAGTTAATAATTAATAACTAGAAACTAATTATTTAACAGTTCTATTTAATAGAATTGTGTACAGTTTTTCAAATATAAATGTAAAATGCAATGCAAATATATCTTGTAAAGTGAAATTCTTACAGCAATAGAAGCTGAATCAAATGGTTTCTAATGAAATTTTAAAAAGTATATAAGAAGCTATAATACTTTTCAGTTCAAGTACAACTTAAAGTTAGATAGGTTTATAACTGGATATGATATGAAACTGAATTTTGCAGACATAATCTGATACTGATAATTTTCAATTCAGTTTGATCCTTTGCTTCTCTCCAAGATGATACAATATTGAATTCTATTGATGTGATCTGATACCAAAAACTCTCGATTCAATTCGATCCATTACTTCTCTCAGTACTCTACAGTATTGTTAATAAATGAAGGCCTAAAAATTTGTTGGTTTATAGAATATACATTTTATTCACTAATCATTTAAATTCAAATATAAAGAAAAAAAATTTACGAATTGATTTAAGAGTCCCTTTCAGATTTGGGTCCTAAGCAATTATTATCTAGTTTGCATAGACCTGACTGGTCCTGTTTTTAAAAAATATTTGGACACATCTTGAGAAATTTATAATAGTATAGAAAAATTGCCCAATTGAAAACACTGTTGCCAGATTACCAACTGCTTCAAAATACAGTAGAGCGTCGTTTATCCGAAAGCTGGTTATCCGAAACGTCCGTTATCCGAAAGCATTCCAGTCGGCAAATTTAAATTTTTGCTAGTGCTGTGGCACTGCAATCTTCGGCTATTTCTCGGGCTACTCAAATATTTTACGTTTTTGATACTAAATTAACATCTGAAGTATAATTTTTTATTGTTTTTATATTTTTCAATAAATTTATTTTGTTTGTACAAAATAAAAAAATAATTTTTAACNACTGAAACTGAAAAAAACTGAAAAGTATTATAGCTATAAGAAGCTATAATACTTTTCAGTTCAAGTACAACTTAAAGTTAGATAGGTTTATAACTGGATATGATATGAAACTGAATTTTGCTGACATAATCTGATACTGATAATTTTCAATTCAGTTTGATCCTTTGCTTCTCTCCAAGATGATACAATATTGAATTCTACTGATGTGATCTGATACCAAAAACTCTCAATTCAATTCGATCCATTACTTATATCTCAGTACTCTACAGTATTGGTAATAAATGAAGGCCTAAAAATTTATTGGTTTATAGAATATACACTTTATTCACTAATCATTTAAATTCAAATATAAAGAAAAAAAATTTACAAATTGATTTAAGAGTCCCTTTCAGATTTGGGTCCTAAGCAATTATTATCTAGTTTGCCTAGACCTGACTGGTCCTGTTTTTAAAAAATATTTGGACACATCTTGAGAAATTTATAATAGTATAGAAAAATTGCCCAATTGAAAACACTGTTGCCAGATTGCCAACTGCTTCAAAATATTACCAAAACTAGCAATAATTTATCAGACCTGGCAACATTGCTCACACATCATTGCCTGTCCTTTGCCCTGTCTCTATCAAATTGGTGCCCTCCAAGGGATATATTCATAGAATTTAAATAGAATAAAATCAATCAACGCAATTAAGCACAGTTGTGACAAAATTTGTTCCAACTGTATACAGTGGGCTTTCTTATTTATCTTTTCATTGTTTTATTGATGTAAATTGATGTCACAGTTCCAAACTTAAAAGAATACTTGCACTAGCATCAGAGATTACATCAGCCAAAATCAAAATGTACTGTACATTCTAAATTGTTTTAAAGTAATCTGTGTTTAAAAATATAGTAAATAATCTTTATCAGTAAATAAATATATTACATATCGTTCTAGACTGCATATTTAATATCAAAAAACACTTACTACAACACCTTTTCTTGCAGTCGACGTGTTTTTTAATAAATATATTAATTTTTTCAGTAAGTGTTTTTTAATAAATATATTAATTAAAAAGCATTCTAGTTTTGATTTAGAATAAAAGATATTTTTAGAATAAATTTAAATCATAATTTCTGTACTTTACAAGCTTAAATACAAAATCTGAAAATAAATTTAAATATAAAAATATCTAAAATTTTTGTTCAGAAAAGAAATGTGTTTATTTATGTCTACAATTCTCTTTCATTTGTTGCTAATTTGTGTATATATAATTCAAAATTATTAAATGTTACATTAAAGATTTTGGTGGAAAAATTGCATTTGAGTTTTAAAAATACTTATCTGTTTGAAAATTAAAATAAATAAAAGTTTTAAAATTTCAGCTTATTAATAAAAAAATCAGAACAACATGCACTGAAGTTTATGTTGCATCTGCCCAAAAGAAGATGATTCAAGAAAGAATGAAATTGTGCAGAGAGCTTTGGGATGCAAATATAAAAGTAAGTGTGTGATACAATTTATGCATTTTTAATTTCTTAAACTACCAGCAAAAAGTTTTATCATTTGCTTAGATCACCACTAATTTTAATTTTGTTCCAGAAGGTTTAATTACTCATTCATTATGAGTTGTTTCTATAAAAGTTTTAAATTTACTTATTGAGCATGCAGTTCTTTAGTAGTATGATACTTTACATATTTCTGTCAAAATAATTTTTTTTAAAATCAAACTATAAAGTTGCAGGATTATTCTCGTGCTCTGTATTAAATTAATAATTGAATTCAAGAAAGACATTCTGTTGGAAGTAGAATAAAACATGAATGACCAGTAATTACAAATGATTATGATGTGAAAGAAATGGTATGTAAAAATAAACTTCACAAAACTGAAGTTGACTGAGGAGGGGCAACAATTGCCTGAAATATGTACAAACATTAAATACGTGTATCAACTAAATAAAAATTAATGATGAGATTTGCCTTGTCTCAGAGTGAATACACTATATAGTTGGTGTTTGAGTTGCAGAGTAAAATTTATTAAATTTTAAAACAGGTCAAAATAATTAAATGCATTATAAAATCTAAAAATTCAATAATGAAAAAACTAAATATAAAGATTTTCAAATTTCAGAAATGTAAGATTTCTTCAAACTAAATTTGCTAATGAATCAAAATATCATAAATAAAATCATTTTGAATACATATAAAACAACAAAGTCCAAGTATGATGTTACACTAATTTTTAAAATATCAAAGTCTTTAAAAAGTGTAAAAATACAGTGATTTCAGTAATTGCCTTTAATTAATATTTTTTAAATTTTTACTTCATATACTTTACTAATTAATATTCTAATGAATTTGGATAATTCAAAATATTAGTATTCTCATAATTCATTGTATATTGTATAAAAATGGTTGAAATTTTTGTAAAAATAACTAATTTTTATATTTATAATTACAATATAAATAAATAAGTAATTATATTATTTTTTTATTTTTATCACAGACTGAACATTCCTATAAATTGAATCCAAAACTTCTTGATCAGTTACAATATTGTGAAGAACATGCAATACCTTGGGCTATTATCATTGGTGAAAGTGAGTTGCAAAAAGGAATTGTAAAGTTACGGCATGTTTCAACTAGAAAAGAGGTTTGAATTTGTTTTTAATATTATATGCATAGCTTATCTTATAAATCGTTTTCATTTCAATTTATTATAAATTAACAGTCTATCAGTGAAATATCATTAACCTGTGATCATATGTAATTGTGGTGATTTTCCATATCATCTAGTTTTTTTTGCAGGCATTTTTTACTACATTGACTAACTTAGCTGTATTTTCATGATATCTTCATGCAACATTCTATCAGCTAACTGTAAACATTTTAATTGAAAATTGTTTCCACTTATCACTGGCCTTCAAAAAATTAATTTAGGAAAATGCCATCTTACACAGGTGATTGTGTACAGTTTTTCACTGGTGATGATATAAAATCAACATCACTAGTGAAGGTTAAGTGCTGTTCAGTACACTGTTGGAAAATTTTAATTGTAAATATATGTATTTTAAAAAAGGATGTGTATTAGTTAGCACCTCTTTACTAAATGTCTTAAAGAAAAAGCCAGTGGAAGAGAGAGACAAATGCCCAAAACACATATCAGTGTGTAAGATATTCCTGAATAAATAGTGATGTTAAAGATGCCCAGTGTCTACCTATCACACAGTTGTGAAATAAAGAATAATTAAAAGACACAGTTTTGGAATAAGTCAATATTATTTATAAATTATCAAAGCATTATTGGATATGCTAAAGAAATAACTGATATAATAAAAACTTCCATACAATGTTATATAGATGCAAATCCAGACTTATTATTCATAGAGAAATAACTAATCTTTTCTTTGATGTTGAAAGGGAAAAATTAAGGATTTAGATTCAGGTATCTACACATATATGTATAAGCATCAAAAATGTATAAGCATCAAAAAATGCCACACACAGTCAGAATTATAGTTTCCTCTAAGACATGATCTAAATTTTGCCAATTATACAAGTTTAACATTGCATTCCAGCAAACTGGAAGTGCGACCATTAGTTCTATCTCACTTTGGATATTTAATTGAGGATTTCAAGCACTTACAGCACATTTTGATTTAAAAGTTCATCTTAACCTGCATATCTTTTGATAGTAATTATATATTTATTAAATAATTTAGTAAATATTTTCATGTTTATAGTTGGTTAAGATGAAAATGATTCTTACTTCAGAGAATAATAATGGTAGTGTATTTAATACTGTTACAATGAGATTATATTTTTACATTTTAAAATTTTGTATTTTCTTAAAACATTTGATCTGTAAGGTGTGAGGGTCCAAATAGCAGGCCCAGCCATATCGAATTTTCTTGTAAAACTAGTAAAAAGTATTAAACTGGAAAAATTTTCTGTTATTACCCAGATGAAAAAATTTGTAGTTTGTAAGATCTACAATCATTTTTTCAATTTTAATTTAAAATAATTATTTGTTTAATAACACATACTGATTTCTAAATTACAAATAAAACCCACAAATAGATAGGAAGAGAATTTAATACAGACTATATAATGTCTATATTACTGGTGTTGATTGTAATGCATGCCTACTGGTACAATTTAAAATTTGTATTTTTCTAATGATGATTCTTCATGACAATAATTTTGATAGTGCTTAGGTACATTTGAAGTTTTTTTATTGCAACAGCTTTCTAATTAATCATATTTATTTCTGCATATGTTAATGAATCTGTTCAATAAATTGAAAACTAAATTATCTTGATTATTACATTGCAATCCAAACCAGTTTTAATTAAACAAAATAATCACATTATAGATTTTCAACATTTATCCTAACCTCAAGTGATGAATTCAAAAATTTACTGTAGAAATTAAACAAGAATTCACTCTCATTTAAAAAATTCAGCTGTACAAAATGGTATTGCAAGCTATTTTTTTATATTGTTTCTAGATTTTGTTTCTTATCATTATTTAAAAACATTGCTGCTGTTAATAATTTTGATAAACTGCACTTCATTAAATTTAAGACTCTTCACTTTTCCATTGTAATAATTATTGGTTTCATTCATGCTGTCAGTGTCAGTTTATAGGTACTTGCAGAATTTTATTGATTTGTCTTATTTAGCATTATGCAAATAAAATTTATGTTATATATTTTTTCTATTTTCTTTTTATTTACTGTATGAGCTAATTATATAAATTATTATAAATCAAAAATTATTTACTTTATAGATTATAATATGAGTATTTTAATTTTTCAGATTGAAGTTTCACGAGAAAAACTTGTAGAAGATATCAAAAATCGTTTGACTGAAGTAAATAACTCTTAATGTTAGACTAAAATACAAAATTATTTTATAAAATTAACTAGTTGTGTTATCCTATATAATTTAACTCTTTAATATACAGAAATTTAAAATTTTTAGATTAAATTAAAACTTTTTATTTTCCACAATGTGAATTCAAAAAAGAAAAAGTTTCTTATCCTCTTGGTAGCCTTTTTTTTATTGGAAAAAAATATCTGGAACTTTGTTTACTTTTAAGATTCCAAAAGCATTATTCTGGTACTTTTGAACTATATTTAAGAAACATCTGTTTCAAATATGTCATAAATACATAAGCACAATTATTTTCTTGTGTTGAACTCCAATATTTATTTCTCATTTTTTCATATGTCTATATAATTTTATTTTATACCAAAGGAATTATTTTAAGCAAATTTTCCTATATTTGTAACTTGTAATATATTGTAAAAATAATCTGTATTCATAATATTTTAATAAATAGCTTAATACATATTTTAAATCTGAGTATCAAATTATATCAATAAATTTATTTTAAATTATGTAATGTTTTAAATTGAAATTAAATTTGTATACATTGCATATTTGTAATACTTTCAACAGATTATTAAATTAGTCTGAACAGTTTCCAAGAATATCATCAACTTGATATTTTCTATGAAATATAAAGGCAGAAAAATTTTTGAAGATTATTCACTTTAATTTCTCTGTAGAATGAACAAAATTTAATAATGCAATAATAAATGTTATATAAATCTGTATTTTTCTGATGTTATTGGTTTGATTTTTAAATGTAGTGTTAAAATATTTATGATTATACAAAAAGCTTCAATTTTTAATATAAGAGAGAATAATTTTTTTTTAATTTTTAAGAAGAATATGTTACAGAATCTTCATAGTTATATGCAGTTGCGAGCATAACGCTATTTAACTAGTAATGAGTATAGACGGGATGACAAAAGATAATCTCGGAGATCGTCCATAAATTACGTATTTTATACTTTTACGTTACGTTATTTTTATACTTTTACTATTTTGTCCCTCGTATTGTACATTGGAGTGGTGTAGTCAGGGGAGATGCAACGGAGAAATTGCAGCATTCGGCTATTAATGTCCATTTTTGAACAATTGAAATTCGTTTATATGTAAGTGTAAAAGTAAAGTCAGTCGTCACCCAAGTATAAATTTAAATCGTAGAACTGATAGTTTTAGTATTTTTGGTAACATAATAAAATATTTTTTCTTTCACACCAGTATGAAACTAATAGCTCAAAGCAACCACGCAATCACTGTCATGAGTATGAGTGACAAAGCATGGTAGTATGGATAAAGCTTGAGCATAACGCGAAGTAAACAGTGTAAGTCGGCAAGTGTGTAGAAAGTGCTGACTCTAGCTAGAGGCACTAATAAAGCAAGTGTATGCTTTGATCTGCACATTTTTCAGACAGCATTTCTTCAAAAATTAATTTTATAAAAATGAAAATTTGGCACTCGACATGTAAGTGTCAGGTGCTAGAGAAGCTGCAGAAGTAAACAAATCTATAAAGCATCGGTTTGTTACAAGATGATATACCAGCACAATTCTACCGAAGTACGATGGAGGGAATTCTCTTAATGGACCACATATCTGGCGTCAGCCTGCTAGAAAAGGGACGAGAGGGTCGGATGATGGAGTCTGTTCCAGCTTCAAAATATGGAAATGTGTAGTTAGGTAAATCTGATGGCGGAGATTTCCGCCATCAGATTTACCTAACTAACGGAATCTTATAACAAGTTATTTCGTTTTTTAATGTAGGTGTTGCTATCAATGATTTTCAAGATTTCTAACATCATTTGGTGTTTATATTGGGTTTTTTAAAAAAATCAATTTATAAACTTTATTTTATTATTAAGTTTCAAAAATTTATTTCATGGAGTTGTATAAAATTTTTTTCGGAGTTAATATTTACTATTTTCTTTTTTATTGTTGTAAGGTCAGAATTACTTGAAGGTCAACAATTTTTATGGAAAAAGTGGACCTCAAAGGATTTTTTCCATTATTGATAATCGGATTTTCTGACATGATGTTGACAAAACAATATCATCAGATGTTCAGTTTGCCATAAAGTTCGGTTTACAACCTGTAGATGAAGATTGTATGAAATGCAATGGTCGTCTTAAATTAATTTATAGAAAGGATCGTGATTTAATTTTATTTCGATGTCACAAATTCAAGTTGAGCCGTTCACAGTTTGACGAAACTTTTAAAGGTAATTCGGAAAAATTTCATGTGAAACTATTTTTTCTATCATATGGCATTTAATTTGTATAGAGTGTACGTTGAGAACGACCTGTTTGGCCGTGGGCGTAAGTAATACAGCTGTTGACTGGGCAAACTTCATACGACATGTTACGATGATTTCCTTGTATAATTTATCCTAAATGAAAATTTGTGGTCCTGGAAAGATTGTCGAAATCGACGAAACTGTTGTGAGTAAAAGAAAAAACGAAAACGGTAGGATTTTGAAAGGATCCAAGTGGGTTGTTGGTGGAATTGTGCCTTTTGCCCCAAAGCAATCCCTAAGAAATCTGAAAATCGAAAGAGGAAGAAAGAAGAAACGTGTGTTAAAAGTACGCGAAAAGTGTTAAGTAAAATAAAACAAAATGTACGTACTAAAGATTTTGCAGAATTATGTTCTAGTTAGAAGAAATAGAAGAAAAATAAAATCATTTTAATTGTGAGTACAAGTTTTTTCTTTATTATATGATTTTGTTAGTATTTGCGCAGTTTGCCATCTTGTTTGTGGACATAGCGTTCACAAACAAGATGGCGACCGGAAGTGCCACCATCGGGTGTACCTAACTTCACATTTACCCAAAATACATTAAGGTGAGTTTCGGTATGATCGCCAGAACGAAGGCATGGACATTGAATGTGAAACCTCAGGTCGTCACGTTCTTTGCTGTGTGCCTTAACTAGATTAAGATTAGATTTTATTTTGAAACCATGTCAATATTCCAGACATACTCTTTGATATCTAAACGAAAACATCAGAAGCACGAGATGCAAAAAAATTGCGGAGTGAAAAAGTATGACAATTTAGATGACAGTCAATTTTTTTTTTGTTAGGAGTTTTTCTTTGGTAAAAGATAAGCTTGCACTTCTAAGCGGTACTCTCGCAAGATTTTTATTATTGTTTTCTACATTTCGATTTGACGCTTATACGCTTTCAATATGCCGCGACGTATTGAAAGCGTTTATAACAATTTTAATTCGCATAAATTTGAGCTTAGACTGGATAATATTTTGAATGAAAATCATTCGTTTCAGTGAAATTTTATCCTTATAAACATAAAATTAAGTGATAAAGTAAACTATCTCTATGGAGAACCCCCGTGAACTTTGACCTATCGACCCGGAAGTTCCTCACTGATAACGAGAGGCTTAAGTTTAGAACTTCAGTTTCCTAGACCCAGTAGTTTTTCTCTAGGAGCTTCTGTAGTGCCGAAATAATAAGAAAATACGGCTTTTTGACGATATTTGCTCTTTTCGACTGCTTATACAGTAAGACCCGCTTAACGCTGCCTCGATTAACACTGATTCGATATAACGCGGTTTGCTCGAAGCCTAAAAAAAGCTCACAATTTACGTTGATTCAAATTATCGCAACATTTCATTGATTCGTATATAATACGATTATTTACGAACACAAACCAATCAGAAAAAGGTGCGCTTTCTTTAAATCTATGTTTGTTTGGTGCAATTTTGGAAAAAAATATAACATCATGGATGCCATAGTCAGTATCGAATTCGCTTGGCAAGAATTAACCCATAAATGCACGAACGGAGTGTGGAAGAAGTTATGGCTGAAGGTATTCAAGAATTCTCAATGAGAAGAACCTATCGCTGTATCGTTAGGTTGACCAAAGTCAACCTAATCGATACAACAGGACTAGGAGATGTAGACGAGCAGGATATTGAGGAGTTACAGCAGGTTTCTGGTGAGAATCTTATCAACGACGACCTTCAAGAACTGGAAGAACAAGGAATTCGTGTAGAACTGGAAAATAGTGATTCTGAAAACGAAGAACCCAAAAAATTTCTCTGCAGACTTCCTTAGTAAAAATAGTAAGATAACCGAAATCGTCAATCAAATTGTAGCAAATGATCCAGATTTTGAAATGAGTGCAAAAGCAAGACGAGACGTTTTGGATGCGATCTCCTGTTACCGACTTTGCTTAAGAGAAATATATTTAGAAAAAAAAGATTTTTTGGGAAGGCAACTAATATTAACGGACTTATAGATAAATGTTTACAGGACAATTTACTGACACAACGCCTCGGTTCACTACAGTTACAACTTGTTTTCATCGCGAAATACTAGTTTATGGTTTAGCAATTGATGATGGCTGCATAAGAAACTAAGACACATGACATATACAAACTGAATTTATATTTTTATTCCAATCATTAATTTTTATGAAAGGATTTAAACAAGTTCATCGGCAATATGCTAAATATCGATCGACACATTCGCATTAAAATTTCCAAACAGTACATCTCATGCCAACAAGTCAATACATTTTATTATATTTTTATATTATAAATAAAAATATGATTTTTGTAAAATGTTACAAATATGTTATATTTATAATATTTTTAATATTACATGCAATAACGTTAATGTTTGATAATTTTATTGTTGTTTAAACTTTTTAAAACTAATAGAAGATAAAATTAAGCTTTTTTGACGAAAGCGTGAATATAGCCTGCAAGTAACATTCAATTATTACCCATTTGTAAAAATTTACAATTTTCATTATTTAAAATATTTTCAAAATTATTTTTTAAAATATTCAATTCGTGCAGAATATTTAATTCTGTCGTTATATTCAATTCTCTATCTTGTAGTATTGTATTTTTGACAATGTCTTGCGTCTGACACACATTCTTCCAAAGTCGAATTTCTATTTCGTCTAAATCATCCTTAATTTTTTGAATTTCTTTTAAAAATTCTACGTTATCCAGTGAATTTGATAATGGATCATTTACAGAATATTCAATCATTTTTTCCTCAAATCTCTGTTGACTCCTGCCTTCAAAATTAGCTAATTTTTCTGATTTTTCAGGTTCATCTTCGGGTCCTTCCTCTTCTAAAAGCTTTCTGTACTCAAAGAAGTTCTTTTTAGATTGACGTTTTGGATAATTTCGACATAAAAAGAAAATAAGAGTCAAAAGTATGTTAACTGTAATAAATACCCAGATCACAATGAGTAGTTCTTTATTCTGTTTCCTTTTCCCCTTTATAAATTGAGTTATTTTCATATCGGTTTTATTTTTCCGTGGAATGATACTTTCGTTTGTTTTCGTATATTCGTACAAATTATTATTATTGATAATATCCAAATTCCTGGTTTGCTTTTCTTTTCTTTCAAC